CGGGGCAGCGAAAGTCTGGCCTCCATGTCCGCGCCCACGCCGGGCGCCAGCCGCACGGGCTCGCTGCGCGGCGGGCTGCGAGCTTCGGCCGCGGCGGCGACATCCTCGGCCCGGGTGTGGGAGTCGTCGCTGTCGGAGCGCCTGGTTTGTTTTTCAGTTTTCCTTTTTTCTGTGTTCTCTTTGGCCTTTTTGTTTTCTGCTCTGTTGTTTCCGGGCCTGGTGCTTTATGCAAAACCACCTCCTGTGGGTGTGTTCTTCCCCCTTTCTCTTCCCTGGTTGGTGTTTTTTTTCCGTTGCTGGCGCTGGTGCTTTAAGCAAAGCCGCCGATGGTTCCACAAGCTGTCTTGTTCTTGCTTGTCTGCCTTGTCGCCAGAAAAGTGGTTGCTGCATGGTGGCGTGGCGCCGAATGGTGGCGTGGCGCCGAAAGCAACAGCAGCCAGGCGACCTGTAAATCAGTGACAATAGAGACACTGGCGAGCAACAATGCATGCTCGGTGAGTTTTGCGCGGAGGGGCCGCCCATCCGCGTGCTATGGACAACCGGACCCCTGCTCTCACCGAGCAGCGCCTAACGCCCGTCCCGTCGGTACCTGGAGGCTGAGGCCAGGAGAGGCTCCTCGCCGGTTGCGTTGCAAACACGAGTTTGGCCCAAATGAAGGTCAAGGTTGTTTCGTTCCTTGAGCGATGACCCCAACCTTTTTTTCTCCCCGCCTCTTTCGCGTCTACATGACCTGGGTTCTTCCTGTACGCAGTACACATAGCGTAGCTGCCGGCGGCACTACGACGTTTCTATGCGTTGTGGAGTGGCAGGCGGCTCGGCCCCCGTGGGTCAGCTGGGTAGAGCATACGGTCCAGCCACGAAGCCGACAGATGGCTGGAGTGGGGTGGCGACGGCTTGCTGCACCGACACTGCCAGCACACCAACGCCTGGCCCGAGCCGTGGAAGCCGCGCTTCGCATGGCTGGCGTAGCTCGTTGGGCACGGACGCGGGCTAGACCCTGGACCAGCTGTTGCGCATCAGCATTCCAGCCAGAACCGGCACCGCGCGGTGAAGAAACAAAACCACGCACGTGTCGTCGAGGAGCGCGAAAGAGTTCCCCGCCCAGTTGCAACTTGGAGTGTAAGTGCACTTGCGCAATGCTGAGTGCCCTACATTTGACAACCCTGGCATTAACGGGTCCGGTTGCTCGCCAACTTCCGCTTAACTAACCATAGGTTCATTGCCGTCCGAGTGTGATCACGGCTGGTCAATGTACTTGGACCTTGCGCGTTGGAGAAGATTGCGGACTGTTTGGAAAAAGCGGAAGCACCTGTGATCCAGAATTGCAACGCACAACCTCACTTCGCTGTCCGCCGACCCCATCTGCCGCTTCGCCACGGTGGTCTCGGCGTGCGCAATGCCGCGACACATGCCCCTGCAGCCTACATTGTTTCTTGGGCCGATTCGCTTCGCCGGCCGACGATTTGCAAACGGTGTCAAATTTCCGCATGGCGATGGGCTCTCGGTCTCTCTCTCCCTCTCCTCACTCCAGGACCCGCGACATCCGCCCGTTCGACAACAAGCCGAGCACCCGGCAAGCACGAGCGAGCAAAGCTTTTGATTGTGCCTTGGCCGCGCAATGACAACCGCGCTCTCGTTTTCCACTGCGGTCGTTCGTGTGACGTTGGAGGGGTCCCATCGCCGTGGAGGCGCGGCAAGGCAGCAACGGCGCTTTCGTGGCCGTGCCCGGGGCAGACGGGGTGGTGTTTACCTGGGGATATATGGAGCTGGGTGGCGACAGCACGGCGGTGCGGTCGTGCTGGTACGATGTGAAAACTGTTCGCCTTTGCTGCTGTCGCGTTGCAGTATGTCAATGTCCTCACATGAAGCGCTTTCGACGGGTGTACCGCGCAGGAAAAGACCGGTCTCCACTCGGAATCGAACAATTGGGGCCAATGCGGTGCGGTAAACACATCCGGGACCGATCAGGTTTGCCGCCGCTCGGAGCGGCGGCAGGCCGAGCCCAGCTTCCTACGCGCATGGCATCGGTTGCTGTATTGCGCATGCTCGCGGGCCTGAGCACAGAGCTCCACATTTGCGGTCAAGCATGCACTTCGCCGGCGTGCGCGAGGTATTCCGTGTTGCTGATATCAGACTGGGCTGTCGCACTGCATGGCCACATTCCTCGCACGAAGTTTGTGAATAAATCGGCATCGTTACGAAGCAACAACCTAAGCATCGCTACGGATGGCAGCGCAGGCGGCATGGGCATCCGCAGGATGACATCGCGACGTCGGAGCAATGCATCGTTCCGCCGTGGTGCAAGCAGAGCTCCACATTTGCGGTCAAGCATGCACTTCGCCGGCGTGCGCGAGGTATTCCGTGTTGCTGATATCAGACTGGGCTGTCGCACTGCATGGCCACATTCCTCGCACGAAGTTTGTGAATAAATCGGCATCGTTACGAAGCAACAACCTAAGCATCGCTACGGATGGCAGCGCAGGCGGCATGGGCATCCGCAGGATGACATCGCGACGTCGGAGCAATGCATCGTTCCGCCGTGGTGCAAGCCCTTGTGCTCCCCATCGAGCCGAGATGCTTTATTCGGTTGGTGCTTCCAGATTTTCATCGCGTGCCAATGCTCCTGGGTTTCCATGGATCTTCGCCAAATTCGTTGTTTCGGCTGCGCGTCGAACGAATTTGTGACGCAGTTCTTTTGCGCCTGGCAGGTTGCTGTCTTGTCGAGGGCAGGCCGAAAACCTACCTACAGTGCCTCATTCACTTGCGCAGAAACAACCGACTGGGGCGTGTCTGCGCGGCCACGTCGAGCACAGGCTCAAAGGTAGTTTTCCTCACAGCGCTGGCTGAGCAGGCCATGCCTGCCCGAGCGCTGAGCTGGGACGGCTTGCTGCACGGCCAACCTCAGACCCGAAAAGCGTGCCACCATGCGGCACTGCCCCATACGTACACAAGTGTGACTGCCGGCATTCCGGGAGCCGTCGTGTGCGACAACCATCGCTGGCACGACCTCCGCGTCAGGGCCCGACGTGTCGCGGACGACGCACACCCGTATGCGTTCCATGGTTTTGGCTCGGCGGGCCACGAGCTGCATGCGTGGGCAGGCAAAACAATCCAAAGAGGCTGGAATCGGTTGGTGAAGGTGAATCAACCATCGGATGCATCAGCATGACCGGTGTGCACATTGGTTGGGATGGTTCCAGAAGCCATCAGTGTGCTTCTCGTCATTGTCCCCGCGGCTACTCCAGGACGAGCGAATAGCAAGGCGAAATCGCAGTTACAGTTGTGCTGGCACGATCGAATGCGAGTGCGAGAAAATGCACCGCCGGCGAGCTGCGGCAGCACGGTAGCGTTCCCGCGGCGCGACAAAGCTTCCTGTTTCGAGCCGAGCTGGGGATTTTCGCAGCGGAGTTGCGTGCAAATGGAAAAGGACGTGCTAACTTGACCGCACGCGTTTTTCCGATGCCGCGGCCGGGCCTGTGGAGTCCTTCTTCGAATTGCTCGCACCAGTGTTTTGCCAACCAGACCAATCGCTCTCGTAGCAATCGGCGAGTCCGCCGGTCCACGGAGAATGGGATCCATCGATGTTCCGCTGCAGTGCGCGGGAGTCGGGATGCCTGCAACGCTGCCAGTCGAATCACAGCCAACCCTGAGCAATGCATTGAGGGGAAGGAAGTGTACCGTCCCGCAATACATCTGCCGGGTTTGGAAATGTAGTTCAGAGGGTGTGGGGATTCTATGTTGGAGTGGTAAGTTGGAACTGTCGGGTGCGATATCGGGCTTGGTGCTCGGTTGCCAGCCCATGTGGGAAACAGAACAGCTCAGGAAATGGGCACATGTCCAAAACCATACATGACAAGTCTCATTCACGATGAGATGCTGCTTACGTCTGTGAAGCTGCCATCCATCTTTCCCCAGCCAGACAGGCGATTTGTCGGATCGCCGCCCGCTGGTCGAGCTTGTGCTTACGGTTCAACGCTCGCTTGAGTCCCGCTGCTGGCTCCAGCAAAACTGCAGCTGCAAGATAACAAAGCTAGGCTGAGCTGCTCTCAGTTTCGGACACCGTCAACATCGCAGCGTTCGACAAACACGGCGTGCTTTCGACACAGCGAAAAACCCAGAAGACCCCCCGCTAGGCTTGAGAGCTACACATCAAATGACATCACATCAAAGAAAGGCAAATCGATGCGGCACGATGGAAAAAGACATAGGCAAGCACTACTCCAGCAACCTGGCTGCTCATCAACAGACTCACAATGCGAGAACTGCCAAAATGAATGCAACACGTTTGCAACTTGCAACGGCATCCGACAACTGTTCATGGACTCCATGTTCCGTACGAAACGAAGCGTTGCTCTCTAAACGACAAAACCTATATACAACGCAGCACTTTTGTGGTGGGTCAAGGCTCCTGCATCTCATCCGGAACAAAACCTGCAAACAACAGTAAGATCTACAGTGCACGATTTTGACGAACACGCCCATCAAGCTGCAGACATCACACTCGTCGAGTTCCGCAAAGCAACGGAGGGTGTGAACATTGATGCTGCCTGCCCTGCGGGCACGCCGGTATTCGTCGTTGCCTTTGCCAAGCTGTTGCAAACAGTCGCCCGCGTTGTCGTGTGTGGGGCCAAGGTCAGTCGCCTCCAAGCCTCCACAGACTCTACACACGGAAACTTCGGTCTTGTGTGGAAATGAAAATAAAATGTGCAATGTTTTCGGTGCGGGTGCAACCTAAACTGACAACCCGCAGGAACTGCATCGATCCAGACCTTCGTCCTCCTGTGAGCCGCGTCCGTTGCAACACATGCATTCCACACTACAGGAAGTATGCCGCGCAAGAACAAACCGACAACACACGCATACACACACACACACGACACCTGAGTCCCTGAAACAAGACATTGTGGACGAGAGCCGTCACAAAGAGCAGTGAGGCCTTTAACCTCTTAGTTTGACTCAGCTTATCTTCAACCCCCTTCAGAACTTCGCAGCAGAGCCACGTCATAGACCTGCTTGAAGTTGCTGGCAGTGACCAAGCTCATTGAGCCACAGCAGCTACACAGTAGCAGTGTTTCTGTGAGGACATGTGCTGCGAGGAAGATCTGTCCAAGCAAGGCTCCGTCAAAATCTGCAGAGGCCGAGTCCACTTTCTGCATGCTTTAGAAACGTGTGGCTTTGGTAGATTTCCTATCGCAAACAGCTTCGACCTTGCATGCGCGACACACTCCTCGAACCTCATGGAAGAGGTTGCCGAAGTACTCTTCGAAGCTGCTTCCTGGAATAAACGACACTCGAATCAAAACGTATCAAGCGAGGCTTGAAGTCGCAGACAAGCATCATGAGGATCGTGGAGGCCCAACGCTGGCCTTCCAATCCAAAAACAAAGCAGCACTTTCGCTCATTTTCATTCACCTTCCCACCTGCAGTTCCCCAACAAAATGGGCCGCTGCTGGTCGCCCGCCCTGAAAAGAGTTATCGCTAAAAAGGAACTTTGTGCTCCAAACCCGAGTCATGTGAAACACGTCAGCGTACTTCACAGCCGGAAGCCGCAACGAAGGCAGCGAAGAAGCACGCTCCATGGCGGCATAACAGTGGAATATGCTACAACTGCAGGATCGCACAAGCCAAATTGCAGTCGTAACTCTCTGAGAACACAAACATGCAAAACGTCCACATGCAGCAATGTCGACATCGCGACATGACATCATCACACCACAAAAGGAATCAAGTGTACACCATGTTGGGTTCCAGCCACAGGCTTCAAATCTCGGCATTCCGTCTTTATCCAGCTAGCAACCCACGTGTTCGGGACTCCGCTCTTCAAAAGTGGATAATTCTAAAACGGATAACATGCAAAACCCATTCCAGTCGTCGTCATAGCCCCGCACATTTTTAAGCTTGTTTGCTCTGATTTGTACTGCTGGGAACACGTACTTCGTGCACGAGACTTTGCATTCCAGCTGTTTTGCATGCCAATACGAATCAACGTTTAACATCGAAACACATTTACATTCACACATTTGTGGAATGTGCGATATGTCACCTTACACTCACTCTCCTCTTAACACCATTCATGATGAAATATCATCAAGTATATTTTTTACACAGAAATTCATTAAGCAAAATTCGTTTTTTTTTGAAAGAGTTCGATTGGTCTAAAATCAGCATCACCTGGTATGATGGGCCTTCAAATCAACATATGTTAGCTATCAACATGCTTCATGTTTACACAACAACCGCGGAGCGAAATCGAGATGAATGCCTCGAATCACAAACTTTTCATCACATTCACAGAAAATTTGAAATCTTGTTCTTCGTTGCGTTGTATGCCAAAATTTATGGAGATGTGGAATCACGATGCAAGTACAGTTTCACGGTTCGTGTGGCACTCCCAGTTCTTTGGGGCTCTTCTGTATAGTTGTATAGTTGAGTCCCGAAGAGAGAAGCAGCAGCAAGAAACTGTTTACAATTCTGACGTCGTATACCAAAGGAAGACCTCTACGTACCATGAAGCAGATCCCACAGGAGAACGGATTAGAAGCATGGCGGACATTGTTGTCCGAACACGAGCCTTTTACTAGAGGCCGTAGCTTGAACCTGCTCGCGCACCTCACCAAGTACCAGTTCAACAGCAAGAAAACAGTCCTTGAGAACATCCTCGCTCTAGAAGAAACAATCGACAACTACGAGAAGGCTTCTGGAGACTTTGTGCAAGACGACCTCAAACTGTCCATTCTTATGAACAACCAAGAAGGACAAGTGAAACAGCATCTCCTGATGGGGATGAAGGCAGACACAAAGTACCAGCAAGTACGTGAGTTTCTGTTGACCTACGAGCAGAACGCAAGGTGGACAACAACAGACATGATAGCATCAGGAAAGGATCATGGAGGACAAGCAGACATGGATGTCACAAGAGCCAAAGGAAAAGGAAAAGGAGATTGGAGACCAAAAGGAAAAGGAAAAGGAAAAGGCACAGGAAAAGGAAAAGGACGAGGAGGCAACTACTTTGGTGCCCCCAAAGGACGAGGAAAAGGACAAGGTCGAGGAAAAGGAAAAGGCCGTGGCAAAGGCATGGCTACGAAGCAACGTGCAGACAGAAGCAGCGAGACATGCAGCAAGGATTTGCCAGGAATGTTCCTGAGGATCAACAAAGTACAGCAGCACCCAGCACAGCAGCACCGAGCGTTGGTTCCACACAAGTCACCAGTGTGAGCAGGCAGCCTCAGCAGCATTTCATTCGCACGCAGCGGGAAGATATGTCTCGGGTGAAACTGATAGTCCACGCTTTGCGAGTGTTCGACCTACAGCTCTGCTGATTACTAGCGCGGTTCACTGCTTCACGGCAAGCCGGGCCTCAGCACTGCACTTGCACACGTTCCGCCTTTCAGGGCTGCAAACTGTGAGTCTGAAGGGAGTTTGCCGTCGGAGGCTGGGTAAGCCCTATTTTTCTAGTCACCTGCTTGGATAGGCTGACTGGCAGATTTGCAATTATCCCCGAGCTGACACTTACGCTGAAGTTTCTGCACCCCGTAGCTGTCTCGAGTGTGTCATCTAGCCTCGCTGTGAAGGCTCCCACTAGTTCAACGTTGAAAAGTAGGCGATGCGGCAGGGAGACCCTCAGCAGAGGTAGGCCAGGTGCCATCTCCAACTCGTCCGTTGTGATCACCGCTGGCGGAGCAACTCCTGCCGGGCTTGTGCTCGTCACATGCAGCTCTCCCGTTCCCGGATGGGAAATGGTGGAGGTGACTGCTTTTAGCGGCGGAGGCCCCAGGGGAGGACCTCCTCCTGGGATTCCCACTTTGGCAGATGCAGCGGAACCTTTGCCCGGCCCTCCTGAAAGTCGATCAGAACTTGAGCCACGTCCTGGAAGATTTACAGGTACTGGTGTTGGCGGTCCCTTCGGTGCAGAGGCCTCCGGTGCTGCTGCTTCTTCAGAGTCTGACTCCCGAGTGGCGTCGCTTGATGGTGGTGATCTGGGAAGATGAGTGCGGCGCCTCACCGGAGGAGGAGTGCGAGAGTTCGCCCTGGTGCCATGATTTTTCGGCGTCTCTGGCATCACGACGAAGAAAAACAGACAGCTATAGACTATAGAGTTGAGCCTGCGTTCAGGAAAAAGCAAAGCCTGCATACAGGAAAGAGTTCCAGGTCTCAGACAGCAGGCCCGGCAGCTACTTGAGACCGAGACCAGGCAAGGAGCTGGTAGTTGGACCTCGGACTGCAGATTCTGTGAGGGGCTGCTGATGCTGGCAGAGCTAACCGTTCCGATGCTTATTTGTCGACATGCCTCACATGCGATAACAGTCTGGGGAGCATCTCCACCTGTGAGGGAGAAGCTCCTTTCCATGAAATCAAAGCGGCCTGTTGTCGCCTCCGTATTTCGTGCCTGATTTCAGGCTCTGGTAATACGCGATGGCTGAAGGAGGCACTTCGTTGGGGGTGAGGATCACGCCGCTCTTGCTACGGAAAAATTTCAGCCCTTCCTGAGAAGCCCTCAGAGGGTTGACCGCCACTAACATGGAGGAGCTTTCCCTGAAGCCAGAGGTGCCCGGTTGGCCAGAATCTCTATCCGAGATGAAGTGGATATGTTGGCGTCCCTCCCTGCCGCGACCTCCTTTGCCACGGCCTTTGGAGATCTTGCTCTGCGGCAGCAATCCTTGCTGCCGTATCGGGTCATACAGGGACCAATATGTACCATGGTACAGCATTGCGGGGAGCATCTCCTCCGTGAGCGCCTCCAGAACCTCAGTAGATTCAACATCGGAGCGCGAATGCCCCTGCACTGCCCGAATATACTTCGTGCCATGGCTGTCCCCCAACTCATATCTGCTTTTTGAGTTGTGGCGAACAATTTCCATAATGTCCCCTGCAGACGCTTGCTGGCTGTATACGCGAGGCCACGACAGCACATCATCCAGCTTTGCCCATCCTGCTGTGGAGACGGAAATATGAGGCCTGTGACCGTGCCTCAGACAGGCCGCCAACGCTTTGGATACCTCAAATGAAAATTTGGTATCTGGGTTGGTGGAGTCCTCGCTGTAGTTACCGAGTTCTCCTGGCTGACCCTCCCATGCCATAATGGAGGATCATCTTGGCGTGACCGAGGATGAAGCTTGAGGCTGAAGATCGTTACCCCCAGCTGTCGGGGGAGAAGCTCCACCCTTTGACCCACTCGCAAGCCCCTTATCCGGAAGGGGAGTAACTCCTCCTTCCTTTCGTCTTTCAGATGACGGGACATCATTGGAAAGGTCATATCCCAGAGCTGTAAAGGAGTCGCGAGTCCGCTTGAGTGGAATCTCGAGCATACCGCTCCACTCGCGGAGGTACTCTCCTAAGGAGAGGGCGTCCTTTGTCGAGATTTGGAGCAGCACCGCTCGGATTTTCACCGAGTCAAAGGAGTGGATAAGTTGGTTTGTCTTCTTGCCGCGTTTTTGCGAACCTGTTGAAACTAAAGGCTTCTCAAGCCTTCCTTCCCACTCTACTCGCAAACACACTTTTCTCACTTCGCGGGCTGACTTGCTTAAGCCTCCGTGTCGCGGTTCACACACATGTTTCATGTGTTCCTGTGATTACTCTACACACTCTACTTGGGACTACGTGCACTAGGTTACAAACGAACACCCCGCCTCAGAAAGTTCTTGCGGGTTCCTAGGGTGTTCTTGGAAACTGCTAGGGCTTTCTGTACAGTGCTTTTGCTAGGGACTTTCGTCTCCGTTCTTCCTGGTCTTTTACCTAGCTGCACTCCTGCCCTGTTGCTACTTAGGCCTTCTATGTCTGTACATTGGCCTTCTTGAAAAACCTACTCTGTATATACAGCTACGTTCTAGTTAGGTCCAGCCTATGGACTCTTTGCGGGGAGGCCCGTACCCCGGTTTCCTTCTGCCCTTACGTAGCCTACGGGCTTTTCTTCTTTCGGGCTTCTTTTCTTTGTTCTTGGCTTCTCCGGCTTCTTGCCTCTTCTGGCCCTTGTACCTTCCTAACCTGCCTCTTGTGAAACTTCTTGTGAGACTTTGGAAGGTTGTAGCTTACCTAGGCTTACTGCCCCAGTTTGCTACGTCTATACATTTGCTCACACTTTGTACATGAATTCTTGTGCTAGTATACATCAAGTCTTACGTTGCCTAGCTATGTACATATGTACAAGCGTTCACTGCTTGACCTGCTCGATCATCCCTTCTCGGGATCCTTTCACTGGGTCTGCACCCAGTTCTTGGACTTCTTGACTTTGCTCTTTCCTTTGGGTGTCCACTGCTCCCACTGGTTCTGCTGCGCCCACTCTTCTGGCGTCTGCCAGTAGCCTTTGTTCTGCGGGTTCGTGTTCTCGTACCAGTTGCTGCCGTCGTCGGTGGTGTTCCAGTTCTCGTTGTTCCACTGGTCGTTGTACCACCAACCGTCGTTCTGTGCGTCGTCCCAGGAAGGGCGTGCTTGCCCTTCGCGTGGATGCGTCGCTGCACCTCTTCCTCGATCTTCTCGTTCTCCTTGGTCTCGAGGAATTTATCCAATTCCTTTCCGTCTGTAAACCACACGTTGTGCCTTCTGTAGCACTCCGTCACCTTGTTCCAAAGGAGGCGGCCTTTCACCGGAGCGTTCTTGATTCTTGGGGCTCCTTTCTTGTCCTCGCACTTCGCGCGGTACTCTTGCGTCTTCTTGTTGAACTCCCACACGTAGCCAAGCTGCGTGAACTCGGCTATGTCGTTCGGGTCGAAGGTGTTCTCGTCTCCTTGGTTGCTTGAGGGCTTCTCTTCTGGGTCTTCTGTCTCTACCTGCTTTGGCTTCTTTCCTTTCTTCTTCTCTTCTTCTTTTGCCTTAGCCTCTGCCTTCTCTTTCTCTTCCTCTGCTTTGGTCTTGTACGCTTCTTCTGTCTCTTCTTCACCTTCACTTCCAGACAAGGCTGCACCTATGGTTTCCTTGAGGCTTTTGACCTTCTTCTTGTACTTCACGATCTTGTCCTTAGCTGCAAGTAGAAGTGCGTCCACTTCCTCCTTGAGGCTCTTGTAGTCGTACTGGAGGTCGTCGAGCTTTTGGTTCCTTACTTTCTCTTCTTGCTTTAGCACTTTAAGCTCTCTCTCCAAGTCCTTCTTTGCGTCGTCCACGTACTTCTTGGCGTACTCTTCTCTCTCTTGGTCGTAGCCGACGGTTCTTTCCTGGGCTTTTCTCTCTCTCTTCTCTGCCTCTTTCTTCTTCTTCTCAACCTCTGCTTCCTTTGCTTTGACGTTCTCCTCAGCTTCTTCAAGGGCTGTCTCCTTCTCGCTTAGGGCCTTAGCTTGCTCTTGGAGGGTTTCTTGGTCTTTCTCTAACTTCTCTTCTCTTTCTGTAACTTTGTCTTCCTTTTCCTTCACCTCCTTCTGCTTCTTCAAAAACCTTTTCACTGTCTCCTCAAACTCTGTCTTTCGGTTTTCGAACTCCTCCTTTTCCTTCTCCAGGCTTTCCTCAACCTTCTTCAACTTCTCTGTTCTCTCTGTCACTTCTTTCTTTGCCTCGTCGAAGGAGTCCACGTCGTAGTTCACCTGAGCGGCAGGAGCTTCAGTCCTCGCTTCTCTCTCTGCTTTCTTCCTCCTTCTTTTGTCTTCGGCTCTTCGTCTGCTTTCTGAGCTGCTGCTTTCTTCTTCTTCACTGCTGCTTCTCTCCTCTTTCTTAGACTTCTTGTGCTTCTGCGGCTTTCTCATCTCGTTGACGACAAAGTATGCCGCCATGCACACCATGGCGAGCGTCACCAGGACTTCCAGAAGCGACATGCTTCCAGGACTGCTTGGGACTTCTTTTGAGCTTGCTACTTCATGAGCTGCGGCGAAAGGTACGTGTTGTACGTAGGCTGCCTCAGTCTTTGCAAACAAACTCGAAAGTGCAAACAACATGCTGCTCTTGTTCTTCATGATCTTCTCGAGTCTTCTCACCACTTGTGCTTTTTCTTCTTCTTCTCGCTCTTGCTCTCCAACTCTTCCTTCGCTGTTGCACATGCCGATCATGTTCAGGAGAAACTTCACTCTTTTCGTGCTGAGAGGCTTTGTTCCTAGGTCTGCTGTGTTTTCCTTTGTGCCAACTGCGTGTACAGTAAGCTTGCCTTCTCGTATTGCTGCTTGTAGCCAAAGTAAACGAATCTGCAAGTGCTTGACTCTTCCTGTTCCTTGGCGGTTTGTGATTCGGCGGCATGCGGAACTGTCTGTGTATGCTTTGAGTAGTACTCGTTCTCCTGTAAGGAAACGAACTGCTGCGTGCAAACCTATTCCTTCGCTTGCTGCTCCTGTAAGTGCCATGTATTCTGCTTCTGCTGAAGACAATGCTATTGCCTTCTGTGTCCTGCTGTAGCTATAGAAATATGCACCGTCCAGGTAGAACATGGCGCAACTCACTGACTTCCTCGTCTGCTTATCTCCGGCCCAGTCGGAGTCGCTAAAAACTTCGAGTAAACGTTCACGTGGTTGTTCTCGAGGTTCTTGTGGTTCATGTGGTTCTTCTGCGCGATGACGTAGAGCTGACGTTCCTGGGCTGTTCCTGCGGTACGTAACGGCGTAGTCTGACGTTCCTTTGAGGTAAAGCGCCAAGTGCTCCAGTTCCTTTCTTTTGCGTTCTGTTGGTTTTGTCATGGCAGTACTTAGGCTGCGTACTGCGAACTGGATGTCCGGACGGTCGTGTGCCACGTACAGCAAAATGCCAACACAACTTCTGTAAGTTCTCGAGTGTTCCTCGTCCAGTTCTTGGGATCCGTCAGGTTCCTGACTGGCTGGTGTACAAGGAGAGTTCTTGGCCTTCTCCTTCTCCAGCTTGAGGATCTCCACGAGTTTCTTCACGTACTTGCTATCGCTATGTACTCGTAGTTCATGATGTTCGTACGTGTACTTCCTTTTGAGAAACTTCACGGTCTCTTCAGAAAATCCTTTCTCGTAATCTTCCTCGTTCAGGAGAGGTCCTTCAACTTGTAAGTTCACTTTCTTCTTGAGGTTCTTGAGGATTGGTTCGATGACTTCCTTCTTGCCTGCAAACTGCAAGTCGTCTACATGTACAATGCAAACTGCAACCACTTTTCCTTGTCGTAGAAGACGGTAAAGTGCTGGAACTGCTGTACAACGCTCAAACTTCTCTTCCACCAAAAGACCATCACAAAAGTCTGACCAAAGACTGGATGCGTCGCGTTGACCTGGCAAAACTCTTCCTAACTTCCAACACCAAGTTCCAGGGTTGCGTTCTGGTTGTTCCTGCATTGCTTGTACAACGTGAGCTGCTTCTTCAGGTACTCGACACAAACAAGGTGTTCTTTGAGGGACTTGTAGAAACGCGCCCTTCACGTCGACACTGTAGATCGCCCAATTGTTGGCGAGAGCCAACATGGGAACCAGTTTTGTAATTCCTGGGCTTGTCGCAGGAGAAAATATATCTTCTCTTTTTCCTTCTGTCTTGTACTCTCTTGCTACTAGCCTGGCACGTCGCTGCCAGCATCTTTGAATCTGCTTGGGCTTTGTTGTTCCTGCTGTGGCTTCATCAACTTCAAAACCTGTAGCTTCTCTGAACCTCCAATCTTTCACCAACTTCGTTGTCAACCACTTGTGAAGTTCTTGTTCTGAGTCTACCAGAGGTACGTTCTCAGTTGCTTCCTGAGGGTCCGTAGAAACCAACGAAATAACTCCCATCTTTGTTAACCTCTTGATTTCTTTGACTGTAGCTTCATCATCCAACTTCTGAAGAAAATCTGGATCCACATTCGGTGGTCCTTTCTCCTCGTCGAAGAACTCGACAGGGACCTTGGTAGAAGCTTCCGTTGGTTCACTCTCTGTCTCCTCTTCTTCTTCTTCCGACTCGTACACAAACTCATCATCTGCTTCATAGACTTCATCATCATGAGGCATGTTGAGGTAACCGTCTGTTTCCTCTGCTCTGTTGACCTGCTTTCGTAGCTTGCTGGGTGAGCTTGGTTCCTCAGGCTCAAGGCTGTGCTTGCTTGCTTCTGCTCTTGGTTCAGCTGGTGCTGAAAGTGCTTCTGCTGAGGCTGTGAGTGGTTCAACTGCTCTGAGTTCCTCCAAAAGGGTGTCATCATCAACCTCAGCTCTTCTCTTTCTGTCTCTCGTCACACTCATGCTGCTGCCTTCGCTTTGTTCCTCTCTGTCTTCAAGTGCTTGCTGTTGCTCTTCACTGCTGTCCTCCGAACTCGGAGGGTCGCTAGCGGCCTCGTCGTTCTCGAGCTGTTCGCGTTCTTCCTCGGCAACAGGGGTCAGGATGCTTAGCTGTGGTCGTTGTCTTTGCTTCTTCTCTGGAAGTATTCTTGCTCCAAGGAGTGGTGTGTTTAGGTTCCAGGTATGGACCTCTATGCTGCTTGTTCTCTTGGAGTCGTACTGTTCTGGTAGTGGTCTCACACTGCGTGTGATATGTATGCCGTCAGGCTGTGCAACGATCCATGTGTCTTGCTCTGTCTTGCCTAACAATATTCCTGCGTTCCATATCCTGTCGCCTTTTCTTTTGATCTTCAACCTCTTCGCCATCACAACAGTACCAAAGGGTACAAGCTTCCCTGAGTAGGGGTATCCGTGGATAACTTCCTGCGGCGTTCTTCCTGTGGAGCTGCTAACTGCGAACCTGTTGAGTAGCCAGCAGGCGTGTCTAAACGCCCAGCTTACTACTGCGTGCTCGTGCGGTATTCCTAGCTTTGTTCTTTCTCTGAGCTCATCGAGAATAGTGTTCGCCTGCCTTCGTACTGTCTGTATTGCTCTTTCTGCGGCTCCATTGCTTTCGTGGTCGTAAGGAATGCTTTCCTGAGGTGTTGTAGAAAGTCCAAGGCTGCTGCGTACCTTCTGTACTTTGTCTTTGAGTGCTTTGGCTGCGTTCTCGTTGTCTGCTTTGAGAACGAGGGCGTTGTACCCGAGCTGCGTGGTGAACTGCACGAGTGCTTCCGCGAGATGCGTCGTGCTTCCTGCTCCTCCTTTCCTCTTGCAGGGCACCGCAAGAACTGCCTTGCTCCAGCTGTCCACAGCGACAAGAGTCACTGCTGGTGGCTCTTCACTTCCTGTGGTGCTTGTATAGCAAAAGTCAAAACTGATGACGGGCTTCGCGGAATCCGTAGAGCTGCTTGGCTTGCTCAATCCTTTCTTGTGGTTGTCTTCTCGTGCTTTCATAGCAACGCAATGGGGACACCAAGGCTGATACGGAAGGTGCGTCAAGTTGTGGTACGCTCTCTCCTCTTCCGTTGGTTCCTGTGGTGGTGCTAAGTGGTATGCTTGGTGGTGTTCCCGTTGTTCCTTGTGTTGCGCGCTGAGCCTTTCTTCTCTGACTGCTGTGGCTAGTCTCTTCAAGAGCTGCTTCTTGCTTCCTGTGGTCTTGACTCCGTACTCTCTGCAAAGTGCTTGTAGTTCTTTAAGACTGCTTCTTTGTGCTGTGTACTCGACGCCTTCGTGGTGGAAGCTTTCCTCCAAAACTTCAACAACTTCTTGTGGTGCTTCTTGGTCTTCTTGTGCTTCTCTCATCTCCTCATCTTTGCTCTCTTCTGCTTCTGGTGGTGCTGCTGAGTCTTCCTTCTCTTGGTAGTGCTCTTCTTTCTTCTTCTTTAGCTCCTCTGCTGCAGCTTCTGCCTTCAGGTCTTCAACAACTTCTGGCTTCACTCGAAACCTTGTTTGACCAAACCACGGCAACCGAAAGTGTTCACGTAGAGGTAAACAGTCTGCTCTCCAGTCGTCACTGTGTTCGTAGATTTCTGTACTGTAGATACAGTCTCCTTGGGTATATCTGCTGTTCTCGAGATCTCCAAGGAGGACAGGACAGTTGGACACACCTGTCGGGTCAAACAAAACAGTTCTTGGTACTACGTGGTGACGAACAACTTCTCCTTTCTCAAGATCCATCTTCCAGTAGTCACGACCATGGCTTTCTTGGTCTGCTCGATCTCCAGCAGCATAAGGAGTGCCAAGGATCCAAAGTGGAATTGGCTTTGCTGAAATGGCTGTAACCACTTCCTTTCCTCCTTCACCAAACTCTTCAAAAGGGTCTGCCTTCTCGGAGTACTTTCTTGAAACTTCGACTGCTCTCCATCCTCTCTCTTCTTTCACCAAAGTGCTTCTGTACGGGAAGTGCGTAGAGGGCTATACATGAGAGATGGGTTCTCATAGCTGCTTTGAGTGGCGTACTTCACGATCACCATGCTGTCTGTGTTGTGCCAACCAGGTTCTTCTTTGTTCACTGCTTCCTGAACGTGCTTGTTGAGTTGGACAACAGTGCGAACCATCTTGTAGTTGTTGCTGCTGTAGCCTCTGCTTCTTGAAGGAGTTTGTACGTAGGCGTAGGCTGCCAAGCTGTTCTTGTGGAGATGCACTGGTATTCTTGAGCTTCCATCTGTAAGGCACATACCTTCTTCTTCGTTAACTCGCAACTCCCAACCTTCTCGAAACAGCTTGCCTATGGCCATCAGCGGGTTGATCACCGAGGCAACGGTGAAGGCTTCCTGAATGCGACAAAAGCTTCCGTTGTCATCAAAGAACGTTAAGTTCAGCATCCTTCTGCCTTCCGTCTTTATTGCCTTTCCTTGTGCGTCCTGAATGGACGAAGGGCGAACCTTCAAAGGGGTTCCTTCTCTTCCTAGCCAAGAGGGCACAAGAGAAACGTCTGCGCCAGAATCCAGGATAACTTCGATTCTTTGATGAAGATCACTTTCCTGGAAAAACTCTTCCTCTACAACACGCACTGAGAGAACTTCTTGTGGTGGTAGTGCTTCACGTCCAAGGTACCAGTTTAGTAGAGGATCTTCTTGTTCTTCTTCGCTCTCTTCTCCTTCTGACAAAACAAACTCTTCAGCTTCCGTCACTCTCAAAACTCTTCCAAAGTATTCAATCTCGAGCTCTTCTTCGTCTTCATCAAGTTCAAAAACTTCAGGGTACGTGACGGGATCGTCGTCCATGTGGTACATCGCGATCTGCCGAACTGTTGGCTTAGCTGTAGACTTCGCGCTTGTAGTTCTTGTTGTTGTGGCTGCTGAAGCGCTACTGCTTGGAACTGTAGTCGGCTGTGTCCTGACGCTTTGCTCGTCTTCCTCCTGTGCGTTCCTGACGTTCTGCTGCATGTCTCTCTGCTTGAGTCTGCAATTGGCTTCGTAGTGTCCAGGCTTTTGGCAGTAGTGGCAAACACCAATTCCTGGGTTGTTGTAGCCTTTGCCTTTTCCTTTGCTACTGTAGCCTTTTCCCCCGCCTTTGCCATATCCTCGGCCTCTGCCTTTTCCTTTTCCTTTTCCTCGTCCTTTTCCTTTTCCTCGACCTTTGTAGTAGTACTGGCTTTCTCCTTTTCCTTTTCCTTTGCTGAAGCCTTTGCCTTTGTACTTGCCAAATCCTTTTCCTTTCTTTCCTTTTCCTTTGTCCTTTCCTTTGCCTTTCCACCATTCAACTCGTGAAACATCCATGTCTGCTTGTCCTTGGTGGTCCTTTCCTGAGTTGATGAGGTCTGTGGTAGTCCATCTTGCTGCTTGCTCGTAGGAGAGGAGGTGCCGTAGTGTTCCGTACTTTGTGGTCTCTTTCTGGTTGAGTAGAAGATGTTGTCTCATGTTCCCTTCAGTTCCTCCAAGAATGATAGAAATCTTCATATCATCCGCAACAAGGTCTCCACTCGCTCTCTCGTACTCTTCAATCAACTCCTCAAACTTCAGGATATTTTCTTGTGTTGACCTTTGCTTGTCGAACCTGTAGTGAAGAACTCCGTTAAGTAGTTGTAGAGAACGTGCACGGTTGTGAGGCTGATGCTCCTCCACCAACAGCCTCCATGCTTCGAAACCGTTCTCGTTGGGTACTTGTTTTAGAGTTCGTAGAGGACGGCCACGTGTATAGCTGGTGAGAATGGAATGTAGCTTTCTTGAAAGTGCTTGTTCACCTGGGTTAAGTTTGCTCCATTCCCATGATGCTTCTCTTCTGTCCATCTCGACTGCATTGATCTTCTCAAGGATGTCGTTGTTGAGAGCGCCTATCCAACTTCTCAGCTTCAACCGAAACTCTAGAAAACCATCACGCTCTTCCTTGTACGTAGTAGGGCCAAAGACTTCTGGAGATTTGATCATCTTGTGGAGGTCGATCTCTCCTGGCCTTCTTGACTCTGCGTGCTGCGACAGTGCTGTGACTGCGTCTGCTGTAAGCTTTCCTGTTGCTGCAACCGCGTTTGCCGTAAGCTCTGCTTGTTGTGACAGTGCTGTGTTGGTTGCTTGGGTTGCTTCCGTAATTGCTCTCTGCTGTTGTGAAACTGACTGCGCGAGTTCCTGTTGTTGTTGTGAAGCGGTACCTGCCTGCGCTTGCTGACTGTTCATTGCTTGGGCAAGTGCTTGTATCTGTTGTGTGTTTTGGGCAGTGAGGTCCGTAAGCCTTTGCAAGGCTTCCTCCATTGCAACTGCACTCTGCATGTGACTGTAAAGCAACACAACATGCAACCAGACTCGCTTCTTGAAAAGAACGCTGCAAACTGACCTGTGCAACTTCCTTCTCGAAACCTTCTTCTTCAACTGTTCTCTTTTTGTTTGCTTAACTCTGACCCAAAAATAGAGGTAGATCCAAGTGACCATACCGAGCGGGGTCCCAAGTAGAAGTAGTACTGGGTGACACGTGCGCACGACGTAGCTCACGACGGGCTCAAGGCTTCTTCCTGCTTTCGCAAGGTACTCTTGAAACTCCAAAACCAACTCAAACACAAGGTTCTTGTAGTAGTTCACGTGGGGCACTTCTTCGTTCTCTAGGTTCTCGTTATACTCCGTGACATCACCATCATGAAAACTGTAGTTGCAACTTTGTTCTTTTTCTTCTGTTCTTGTAGAACTCGGAGTACGCGTTCGTCTTCTTGAGGTAGCTCGTGACGTTGATCTCGTTCTCGTTCTCGGTTTGGTATTGGGCTCATGTAAATGCGACCACAACGTGAAAAGCTCTGTGTGATCACCTTCTTGGCTCATCCCGGCAGATACAACATCCGCTGGGGTAATCTCCTTTATCACATGCTTCTTCTTGGGGTTCTTGTTGTCGAGGCTGAGGACCTTGTTCCTGTAGTTCAGCATGCGGTTCGTGGCCAACGGGTAGCCGTAGGTCTCGTTCACTTCAAAAACCATGAACCATGACATGCCCATGAGAACCACAACCATGAAGACTTTTAGCCAAAGGTACTTTCCTGCTGCTTCCAAAAAGGTTCTCTTGTACTCGAAGGTGCGTTGTTCCCGGGATCGGAGTCCGCCGGGACAGCAGTACTTGCATGGTAGCAGCCAAAAGCCCCGAAGACGGTGCCCGCCGAAGAGGCCGTCCCAGCACAAGCTCCCGAGCGTGCTGCCCCCGATCCTCCTCCAACGCGAGCAGTTCCTCCGCCGAGGGCTCAGCCCGAGCCCCCCGCGGAGCCCGTCAGGATGACGCCTGCGCAAGAGCGTGCCCTAAGGTACATGGCCCGCCAGGACCGGTACATGGAGCTGCTCGCACGAAACACGCACGAACTGTAAAAGGATGATGCCCCTCGAGAGGCGCAACGAACCCTTCATGCTTCGGCAGTTCCACAAGATGTAACCCAGCTACAACATCAATCCCCTGCTGCGCCGCCGGCACCAGCAGCTGGTCGAGGCGCAGGCCTTTTTCCTTTCCACACGCACCGCTCAAGTAGGACGGCTAGCGCTAAGGTGAGCAGGAGTGATCCCGGCCACTCGGTTGGTGGCAATGTGATTTCATGAAATCAGGATGCGAGCGAACCCAAGACCCAAGGCCAAAGCCAGCGGGCAAACAAAGCCCAGCCCCGACAACAACACACCACAACACAACCACAAGAGCAACGAACGACAACGGAACCCACAACAGAACAGGAACAAAAGCAGCACAACACAACAAACAGAACGAAAGGAACACGAACGAACAGACAGGCAACAGCGAACGAACGACGACGACGAGAACGAAAACAGCACGACAACAACCAACCGCACGAAACAACCCGAACTGCAGCTCCATCCACGATCACATGAAAATCACACTCTCGGTACTAACATTGCCTCGCCACGTATGGCTGCAGGCGACCCCGACATCGCTGCGCACAGCTGCATGTCGACCAGTGAAAACGTTGTTTAAACAGTTGTGGAAACCAAGCCTCTACGCAGCATCAGAATCAAATGTAGTTTAGCGGCTGCACTACATTTGAGGGCATAGGGTGAGTGGAAGCATCAGAATCATCGCTCAAGGAGTGTGCTCAACTTTGTTTGAGCAACCAGACAAGATACGTGTTTTTGAGGATAAGCGAATGTTCGGAGCTATCAAGCTTGCGTGGGATACGACCATCATCGGTCCCAAAAGCATTCTCGAGTGCGCGCAGAGGCACCCCTGGGTTTACCGGACCCGGCACATCACAAGCCTCACAAAGGAGACCTCGATAATGACCTGAGGCTGGGGTGTTTCCAATGTGGAAAGCCCCCGCAATGACACGATATTGACAGTGATTCAAGTCCAGATTATTGTCATTGGCAAAAACCGGTATGCTAATGATCCCATCAAGCTCAACAATCCCTTTGAATTTGCGCACATGGCGGTGTGACCGCTGTCGGAAGCGACCGAGCTGCACAAGGATTAAGGGCGAGGCAAACCCCAAAGCATGAACATCATCCTGCTGGCACCAAGCCTCAACGCACTGTTGTATGGTGCATGCATCCTCTGGAATTGGCATTGTGATTGGGAGATGCAAAGGGCCGCGATCCACTTCACGGCCCTCTGGGACTGCTGGGGTCCCAGCTCTAACTCTGGCAAACCAAAGGCCTTGCATCATGCCAGTCCGCAGCTTAGGCAATGCATGCATGGCAAACTCGCCTATATCATGTTGTTGCTGGGGTCGTGACCACTGTTGCAAGACGGCGCTCCAAGCAAAGACCCTCGACAAGCGATCATATGAGCCCGAAAGCAATGCCTGAACAAGGCCTGAGCATCGACCTAGTCGTGCATCGATGTGTTCCCCGACCTCACGCGTGTAAGCATGCAAGGTGGCCCATAGCCAAGTCATCACGAAGGCATTCTGGTAACAAAGGTTGCCATGATTGTGCAGTTTTAGGGCCAGCACCCGCCGGAGAGCAGCTCCTGAAGTTTCCGCGCAAGTGGATCTCTCTTCAGCCCCTGTGGTCGGAGTCTGGCGCCCACCAGCATCCAAATCGCGGAGCTGCACAGAGTCTCCAGAGCCTCGTGAACCTTCATCGCCTCGGAACCTTTGATCGAGGTCTCCAGCTTGAACTCGAGCACCTCGCCGGTGTATTCCTCCGCGAGCTGCCGCGTTGGATGAAAGCGCTGCACGATCTGCCCGCTGGCCAATGCCAGCAGCGTCTCGAGCGCCTTCACCGCATCGGAGTGTGGGAGCGGTCCCACATCTGGACACACGATCTCCTTCTGCTGAGCCACACTCCAGACCAATGGCATCCAAGCTGGCTCCCTTCCGTCCTTCTTGACAATCCAATTGTATTGAATGAGCAGCTGCACCTTTTCCTCCACGCTCAGCACCGCTTTGGCCCGCGTGAGGAGTTCTAGGAGGATGCCCTTGAAGAGAGCCATGCGCTTGGGACAATCGGTCTTCCCTGCAGCCTGAAGTTCCTTCCATCGCACTGAAAGATCGTTGACTGTCGATAGCATGGTCTCCCCGCCTGTGGTCTTGAAGATCATCGTGTATGCTCGATCTGCCTGAAGAATGTTGATTGAGTCCTCGTGCCTCAAGCATAGCTTGGCTATCAACGGGATCAGCGATTGTTCTGGTGCTCGCTCCGAAGAAGCCTCTGATGTCTCGCGCTGCCTTTTTGATTTGTTCTTGCCTTTGCCCTGGCCTTTCTGGAACTTTGCTGGTCTCTCTGGCTTCTTGTTGTCCTTCGGTCCCATATGTGCCTGCCCTGTCAAGGGTGTCGCAGGGGGTCTGGGATTCTTGTTTTGAGATCCCTGTGCTCCTGTTCCGTCCTCGAGCATGCTGACTGCTGGTAGCACTGCCCCGAACAGAGATGAAACACCCTCCTTGGTGAGCTCGGTCATATGCTCTGCAAGAAAAGGCAGCCTGAAACAAGACCGGGCAGCCAACAACATGCCTGGACTTCCTCGTGAACGGCTGCTCACAAAACTCACATGGAGTAAGGATGGCACCGACAAGTCCCCGGCAGTCAGCCAAAGCAAGCTCTTGGCAATCGTCAAAGATGGCTTTGTGAGACTTTTGCAAGTGATACTTGATGTGTCTAGGATCGGAGAACCATTGCCTACAAAGACAGCATCGTGACATGAGTTCGCCCCTAAGGTCCGGAACATTGCGTATCCGATCAAGAAGCGTCTGAACGCCCCCATGTGCAATGTCACAGAGAAGCTGCCCTCTTTGAGCAACAGGTTCAGGTTCAGGCAATGGCTGTGATGATGGCGGTGGTGGTGGTGATGAAGGTGGCGGTGGTGGCACGCTGCTGTCATCATGCTCAATTGTTGCACCAGCTGTGGGCACACTCCCATCATTGTGCAGTGTCTGGGCTTTTGGACGCAGAAGTGCACGTAGGGCCGGACATCTATCGTTGGCCACATGCCGCAAAAGGGTCTGGAAATGATGAAAGTGCCGGTGACAGCCTCTGCAAATCGGCATTCCATCAATGCAAAAGTCTTGGCGGGACAGGGTGCTTATGTTAATTGGTTGGGTGGGCGCGATATCCGGGTGCTTACGGGATTTATGTTTGCGCATGGAAGTTTCGCAGTCGAAGTAAACACCACACTCAGGGCAGGCAACCCCCTCAGTAGGCACGATGCGCTCAAGGCGACAGCACCCTGTGACTGCGTCAGTCAGCTGCTCACGTGCCCAAGTGGCCTGTGCAAGCATTTCCGGATTTTGCATGATAATGTCTGGCGTGGCCGCAGCAAGGCCCAGGCGTTGCCGGAGATTGTCCACCGCCTGCTTAAGGAGCACAACAGGGTCTTGAAGACTGAGAAGGTTGTACACTTCCTGATTTGTGGTTTGCGTGATATGCCTCGGCGATTTGGCAATGGCACGAAGCTGCGTGTTCACGAGTCCCATCGCCTTCGACAAGACGTACCCTGAACAACCACAACAGGTCCAGCCGTACACCAAAGTCGACCGAATGCACGCGCGCCAAATATGAGCGCGTCTTCTCAGGCCCAGGCATCGGGAGGACGTTAACACACTGCGTAACCTGGAGAACTGTGTCTTGGCAGATTCGATGCGATGCTGTACCGTGAGACTCTCAAAGTCATACAAGGAGATCACACAGCCCAAGTACACGTGTGACCGACGGACTGGCACATGCAAAGGTTTATCACTCAGCCAACTAATGTAGGTGCCCTTGCTGCTAGTGTGCATGTGTTGTGTCAACAACCTGCGACCTTCGGGGTGTGCCATCCGAATGAGCATGGCAGTTTTGTTCACATTCACTCGCAACCCGAATGAGGCAAATTTTGAAAGGAATTTGGGTACGATCTGCAAAGCCTCAAGGAACTGCTGCTTCGTGTGAAAAATTTTGCTCAAGAGAAAATCGTCGGCGTAAATTTGAAGGTCAGTGAGTGGGATGATCGGTTCCAGTTGGTAGGCAACATAACAAGTGAAGCATGTCCAGATCAGCGGGGACAAAGTACATCCTTGCCTGATGCCACGCTCGGTCACGATGCGTAGATTGATGTGTGCATGCTGAAGGTGGTATGTAGAGCCGGTGAGCCATTCCATAATGATGTGTACTTCGTGATCCCCAACCCCTGCTGCCAGCAAGGAATCTCTCACAAGACATCTGGGAACAGCGTCGAAAGCCATTGACATGTCAAGCGACAAAATGTAGCCTCCTGAGTACGGCGCAGAGGTGTGCCCACTTCTGCGCGCAAAGATGCTGTTCCCGGCTTGCTGGGTGAGCTGCCTAATTTGTCGACATCTAGCAAACACACTCAACAGGGCACCCTCTGTTGATCTCTGCGGCAAGTAAGCGTGTTGCGGGCAACGGTATGCGTACTCCTGCACCTTGTGGCGTATGCTGCAGGCTAACAGTTTGATTACAGCTTTACCACAAGGGTCTTGTAGACACAGAGGGCGGAAATCCCCTGGGCTGCGGCCTGGTTTCTGCGGTTTGCGCATAAGGAAGAGCCACCCGTCCTTCCAGTGCTGAGGAACGGGGGCTCCATTCCAAATGGACTGCACTGTCTTATGCACGTACGGTGCTAGGATACCTGCGGTGGCACGCCACGCCGCACCTGGTGCGAAGTGTTTCGGCACCGCCTTTCTGAGAGGGATCTGCCCAAGAGCCCAGCCAATATCCGCAACTGATGGAGTGGCTGTGCATTCATGGAACTCATGGTCCCATTGATCCTGGCCACCTTGGAAAATGTTCTGAAAGTGCTCACGGAGTCTATCCGCTTCATCAACCCGACTCAGGATTTCACCATCGGTGCCATAGATCTTCACCCTGCGAAATGGTTGTTTGGGTGCAAGTTGTCGAATGATTGCATACAGCTTATGGGTGTTATTCTGCGACGCAAACCTCTCAGCTTCGATCAAGAGATGCTCAAAGCGCTGCTTGCGTGCCTGCCTCGAACTGCGGTTCGCTTCACGGCGCAATGCTCGAAATCTAGCAAAGTGGTACCAAGCCCGCCATGCACTGGAAAGGTGGGTAGCCGCCTGTTGCCGGTACAATTTGCCCAATTGCAAGTGCCTCCACCTGCTACGCACAATCTGCTGAACTTCATCTGTTTGGTGAGCGTACACCCGCCTAGCTGGAACCGCCGGAAAGAATTGCACACAGCTCTCATAGAGCACCTGGTGGAGGTCCAGTGTGCTCGTGATCACTTGAGTTTGCAATTGTTGCTTTACTGCATCTTGGAACGCATGCAGCTGGGGCGTGTGCCACTGGACCGCTTGTGCCAAAGCATCTGTGTCCACACGCCTACTGGCAGTTGTGCGGGCTTTAGGCTGCCACCGATAGTCAAGAACAACGGCTAATGGCCTATGCAGGCCCGACTGCCGCCAAGCAGTAACCGGGAACGCCTGGAGTGGCTTGCATTGTCGCATGCGATTCGTAACCTGGTGCCGCCGGGCAAA